CCGGCATGAAACACTGTCCCGCTCTGCTGAGCACGCCAAGATTTTTAGAGGCCAATTTGGCCTTCCCTTCCAAGTGACCACGAAACTGCACGTCACTCGATATGTCGACGCCGAGGATTCCGATACTGGCTGAGGCAACAAAGGGAGTGCCTTGAAACTGAGGGAATACGACAAAGGGATTCTTTTTAGCGGTTAACGCGCAAGCTTGTGTCTTCTGGGGGTTAAACTGGACTAGATTTAGTCGCCCCCAAACCGAGACTCTGTCCAGCAGAGACTCGACTTCAGACACAAATTTTTCCCGGCCGTCGGAGTAATATTGGCTCGGCCGGTGTAAAGAGCATCACCAGTACTGTCATCTGCATAGCAATGAATGTTACGGGTATGCAACATGTCATCGATATGCAGAAGAAACAGCGTTGGCGATAGCACACAGCCCTGTGGAACACCAGCATTAATAGGCTTGCAATCGGAGCTTGCACCGTCTACAACGACCTTGATGCTCCGATCTGCAAGAAAGCTGGTGATCCAATCGCACAATTTCTCGGGAAGCCCATAGGAAGGAAGCTTCGAAAGAAGCGCTTTGTGCCAAACCCGATCGAAGGCCTTCGCAATGTCCAAACTAAAGGCCAATGCCTCCCCCTTGAACTCTACTGACTCCGCCCATCTGTGAGTTAGGTAGACCAGAAGATCACCAGCTGACCGACCACGGCGAAAACCGTATTGGCGGTCACTAATCAGCTGGTGATCTTCAAGGTAGCTCATGAGCTGGCAGTTTACAATGGACTCCGTTGTTTTGGAGAACAAGGAGGTGATGGCGATTGGCCGGTAGTTGGACGGGTCAGAGCGGTCGCCTTTTTTTAGGGATCAGGTGGATTTTAGGGATCATCTTTTTTTAGGATTCCACTTCACGCCGGTATTCTGTGAGGTCGTGGTACCACCCCGGTTTGAGCCGGCCCATACGAGCAACAGCAAAGCTGCCGCGTGGCTCTACCACTGTCGGCACTGGCTCTACCACTGCCATACAGAATACGAACGAATCCAGCCACAGTGAATGTACGTCACACGGTTTAGGCAAATAGGCACACTGGCCGTAAACCCTCCGTGAGTGCCACCACCTACCAGACCGCCGCTCCTGCAGACGTGATGTAAGTGTATGGCATCACCACCAATTGCGTGATCAGCACGGCTACTAGCCGCAGAGCGTGTCATGAGTCTACCGCTCACCTCAAGGGAATGGGGTCCCACGTTGTGCGGCTTTCGGCTGCAGCCTTGAGAGTCTCCTCAGATCCTCCCGCCAGCTACCACCCGCATGAGGTCGGCACATAAGCTCCACCAACCAATACAAGGGCAGATATAGCCAAAAGGCAGTTATAAGATAAGAGTAATAATTGGCCATCAGAAAGGGTTTGTGTCACTGACGTTGAGTAAATGCATTTTCGATCATGTTTGTCTCACCCACCAACAAGTTGCCTTCAATCATTCAAAGGTGGGAAAGTTACAGAGATATATTATTATGTTATTATATAAAACATCATGGAGGGCAGACAGTCTGCAGCCCCGTAATGAAGGGACCCGACTTGGGCAAAGCTACTTAGGTGTAAGTCAAACCAAGACGCAGAGAGCGCCATTGAGAATAGCATCCCACCAAACAACCATCGCAGAGACGCAATGCTGCAGAACGCAACAAGCATCATCAATACGACTATCGTCGGCTTACACCATCCCAAGGTCCCCCATACAACCCAGCAGACATCACCACCCGCATACCTCCATCGACCAGAACCACAAGAATGCGTCGAATCAGGCGCAGCACACCCGCAGATCCATCATAAGACGCAATACCGCAAGTAGCAGTAAGCATCAATGCAACTATCATACGGATGGCGCCCCCTCACAACACACCCACATGACCCCTATCGATTTTGGTAACAAAGTTTTTATTTTTGTTATATAAAAAATATCACCAACGTATCATAGTAGTACGCTACTAAGACGCCAATGAACAAATCTCCACGTATCATAGCGCTGATGCACTAAGACATGAAGTTGAGTATGCCTTGTTACACTTAAAAGTGCTACCAAACACACTCATTATCCCAATCCGAAAGATAGACGACGCATCGCTATGCGCTACGACGTCGCCCACAAACAGTATGGGTGTGTGATGTCCACGGGAAAGCCGTATTGCTACAATAAACCCGATTACCACCGGCACTAAGATGATATGTCTAGGACACATCGGTTAGCGAGTCCAAGTTTACCTCAGATCAATTGCTCGTGAAGCAGCACACACGCCACCATAATATTCCTTTTCAAGTCCCTAATAAGGACTAGTCATTTTGCTACAGTACTAGGAGCAGTCGGTCACCCGACCACCCCAAACAATGCTTATGCATCAAGGAGACCTTCTATTCTTCTGTCATTCATATATATAGGTTTCGAACCCACGACCCTACTATTGTAATGCATATTCATCATAGAGACCTTCTATGGTATTGCTTTTGTATCATAGACCTCACTTTCATAAGTCATTAATATATAGGACTTCAACCCACGACCCCACTATTGTAATGCAAATTCATCATGGAGACCTTCTTTAATATTGCTTTTGTATCATTGAGTTTAATATCATAAGTCCCTAATATAGGACTAGTCATTGTGCTACAGTACTTCAGGCAGTCGGGCTCCCGACCACCCCATATATATGTACAACTGCAGGTATGTATCTCCGACAGCTCCTCCATACAAGACATCTATACATGAACACCTTCAATAACTTAGGAAAATTTTCTTTTATACGTGAACTTCTTCCACAACTTAGGAAATTTCTTTTATACATGAACTCCTTCTACAACTTAGGAAAATTTTCTTTTATATATGAACTCCTTCCAAGACAGACAATTTTTACCAAATTTTCTAATTATCTTATAAATGTTATCTATCTTTATTTTTATAATATTTTCGACTTGTATTTCCACTATTTATCTTATTTTAAATATTTTTTCAAGTTTTTAATAAATTTATTTATTATGGAAGACAATATTTTGACTTTAATGTTATTGGTCTAATGTCTGAAATGTATTTATTTTAACTTAATGCTTATTAATGTAATTTTATTGCTTAATATATATCTTTTAAGACTAGTTTTGACGCCCCTTTATATTGAATTTAATTATTAATAATAATATTGGGCCGTTACAATATGAAAAATACATACTAAATTTCTCCTACAAATAGTTGCAAATTTGGAATTAATCACGATATTTTATGCATGAAATAAACTTTTTAAATATTTTCGTAGATCTATTTTGCAAAAAAGTGGAAATTTATGACATAAGTATTCAAATGATACTTATAATATACATAATGATACTAGATATATAGTTGTAGCACGAATGGGTCGGCTCGACCGGGGAAGGACCATGCTCTCACAGAATACCAGCGTGTAATGGTTGCTTAATGCTGCTGTATTTCGTATGGTGAGTGTAGAGAATCGGAGAACCTTTTTACTGGAAATAAGGCATTCCATCTTAGTCCTCACGGGTGACAACGCATCTGAATTTTGTTTCGTAATCGAGGATAGATGTAAATGTCTTTGGGCCACAGCAACCACTTACCATCAGGTGGACTGTGTGCTCGTTTGTCTCCTTATACTACAAAAAAATACTATGTGTATTGGGGTTGAAATAATAACAATTTCATTATAATTTCTATTATTTTGAAATTAAAATTTTCTGAGAATAACTGAGTCTAGGATAGGTATAAAGATTTACACAAAAACCTTGGAGAAGCACGCGTCGCTTAGCGGCTTGCTTTGAGTCGGCCATGTCAGTGACCTCATATCGGCCGTAGACTATTATTTATTCTGTGACGTAGATAATATTATGTCGACACGTGTCGTCGGTAAGTTCAGAACCAAATAATATTTTTAGAAATTTAATATTTCTTAAGTTATTTTATTAGAAACCTAAAAACCCCATTTAAGGCAACCAAAAAATTTTCATTATCATAATTACCATGCCTATGTGTACACCTATACGTCCCTGAAACGACCAACAGGGTTTTTGTTACATACTGTATTAGTATACTGGGTTTTGTTACATATATATAAAATTGTAATATATTAAATTTTATTATTTATAGTAGATTATTCTATAACATTTACCATTGTATAATAAGCGCGCTCTTTTATAACGTCACTACTTATTAATAAATGAGTTAGTGATTATTGATAGAATCAGGCGTTACTTTGCGGGAATCCATTAAAATAAGGATATTAATAATTACTTTGCAACCATCCGTTCAATTATATATAACGATGTGTCCTACCTAGTTTGAAGAGCACCTCCCGCCCCCCCTCAATTGCCTGCACTAATCCCGTCACCATCGTATATAATACACGTATATTACTTGTATATTTTTTATAATAATAATAATAAAATGGCGTAGGTAATTGACGACCCCATCGCCCGCTGACGTAACAGTTAAGTGACAAAACTGCTACATCAACGCAGTCAGTCAACGCCTTGCGAGAGGTGTGAGCGCCATGCCTCGGCAGAATTTAGGGTGCAAAGGCCCGTTTGTGCTTATGGCCGTACACGATACGGTGCCGGGCCGGGGCGTCTCCCGTTAATGGACGCCCAAACCATGGATGATGGAAAAAAAGACAGTGCGCAAAGGGCCGCTTCCTGGAGGTAGCCAGGGTGCGTATGGAGCTGGCGCTGAACGCGACAGCATGCGGGCCACTAGCCGAGCACGGGGTGCTGCAAGACCACCTTGCAGCCCCCCGCATCCATCATCCCCACCAGAAGGCTTGATGTCGGCTAGGTCTTCTCGGACTCAGCAAGCGGCACCCACCACTGGTGGAGCACGGCGCATGCGTTGGCATAATTAATTCTTTTAATCCCTTCCTTAAAGTACGACCGCAGTGCGCAAACGCACTGCGGTCGTACTTTAGGGCAAAAGGGGAAGAAACTGGATGTTTGGCGTATCGGGCTCGGATGCATCGCTTTTTTGCAGAGCTGGAGCCATTTCTATCCGTCACTGAGCAAAACCTGACAGACCGAAATCGGTACATCCTGCGCTCCAACATATTTGGTGACGCCGAACTCGAACGACTACGACGTGAGGCTGTTCCCTCATCGAATGGAAATGCTATGCCTGGGAATGCGGCTCCACTAGATGCGCAGCAAACTGCATATGTGGATGCAGCCGTCAATATTCCGGTTAATTCAGGTGATGATGGAATAGTCTCCCATGAACTAGAGAAAATGAGGAGCATATTGGAAGAGTCGATGCTGGAAACGCCCAGCATGCCTCTCGAAAATCGACCACGACTTCCCCGCATTACCCTTAGCAAGCGAAATCGGGCTGTCGTGCGGGCTCTTAACCCAATGCTGGTGACCTATTTGAAAGCCAGCCACGACCTTTGCGAGACAGACTCAATTCTTTTTGGCGCCGCACTGGAAGTATGCCATATTATTGGCACCAAACTTCCCATGGTCGGACGTGCTACTCAACAAAGTAGCGCCATCCCAGCCTGGAGAAAAAGAATCGAGGACCGTATCGCAAAGGCAAGGACCCTTATCGGCAGACTGACAAGTTTCAGGTCGGGTAATAATAGATTGAGAGTTGTGCGCACCGGTAGAATGGCGTATGCTGGGACAAATATTAGTTTGTCCCAGCAGGATATCTCGCAGAAACTGACGGAGCGCATAGATGACCTGAAGCAAAAAATCGCTGCTTGGGGGAAGCGGATTCGACGATTTAGCGAGAGGTCAAGGCGGTTCAACCAGAATCGTCTCTTCTAGAATGATCAGAAGAGGCTCTATAAATCTTTGGAGCGACCTGAGGTATGTGGAGCGGGCCCAGGACCGGATCAGGCTGACACTGTCAAATATTGGCGTGGCCTGTGGTCACAGCCCGTAAACCACAGAGAGGGCCCTTGGATGGAAGTTGTGGCGAGCCAGAGTGCAAGTGTTACTACCTATGGACCCCGTCACCATAACGCACTGGAAAAGTCCGGGGCTTGACGGGCTGCATCATTACTGGCTGCAGGGGTTCGTAGTGTGTCACGCTGTGCTCGCCCGACAGTTTCAAAAGGCTCTCGAGCAGAAGTCGCTTCTGAGCCTCTTCACCACTGAGATCGCTCACTTGGTTCCTAAAGATCAGGATACAACAGACCCGAGCAAATACCGCCCCATTACGTGTCTACCCATCATATATAAGAGACTGACATCCATTTTGAGCACGAGAATCACTCGTCATCTGAAGCTAAATCAGGTGATGGCACGCGCTCAAAATGGATGTCGGGGCGGTGGTCGTGGAATCAAGGAACCACTCCTCGTTGACGCGGTCATTGGCAAAGTGGTGAAACGCAACCGTCGGAACTTCTCCGCCGCCTGGATAGACTACAGAAAGGCATTTGACTCGGTGCCCCATACATGGCTAAAGAGAGTCCTCCAGCTGTACAAGATTGACTGTACAGTTGGAGACTTCTCGAGCAGTGTATGGGGCAATGGAGTACGATACTTTGCTATCTGGGCGGGCGGATGATGGCTGCGGAGAACCACATAAGGATAAGAAGGGGTACCTGGGGGTTTCCAGGGCGATTGTCTGAGTCCAATCTGGTTTTGCCTCTCTTTGAACCCTCTCAGTAATTTACTGGAGGGGTACTCCGGGAGGGGATTTCAGCTTCGGAAAGGAGGACAAAAGTGACCCACCTTTTCTATATTGATGACCTCAAGTTATTCGCCTCCAGTCCCATCTTATGGAATTGCTAAACATCACTTGTGAATTTAGCAATTCTATTGGAATGGAGCTGGGTACGGATAAGTGTGCGGTCCTCCATGTTGAAAGGGGAAGGGTTGCTAACTCGGAGGGCATAGACTTATCTATGCCCGTCAACTTAAGGACCCTTGCCGAGGCTGAAACATACCGATACCTCGGCATGTCACAGAATATCGGTATCGATGAGGCTGGTATGAAACAGTCAGTTTGCGACGTGTTTTATGTACGCTTGATCAAAGTGCTTAACAGCCTTTTGTCCGGTGTAAATAAGACACACGCATATAACTGCTGGGTCATGCCTGTTCTCATGTATACATTTGGCATACTCAGGTGGTCTCAGACTGAACTTAACGCTCTGGATAGAAAAGTCCGCACTACAATGATGTCCCATAGGATGCATCATCCGAGATCGTCGGTAATGAGGCTGTACTTGCCGCGAAAGCATGTTGGGCGTGGCTTTCTGAGCGCACTCACCATGCATAATCGCGAAGTGTGTAGCCTCCTTGATTACTTCCTGGCGAGATCGGATGATCCATTTTATAATGACGTCATTTCTAGTGATAAAGGGCTTACCCCTCTATCCTTAGCCAACGAGCAATGGCAGGACCCAGCAGTGCGTAGCATTTCCGACCGGGAGACCGTATGGAAGGAGAAGGAGCTCCATGGGAGGTGCTACAGGGCTCTACATGAGCCCTTAGTAGATACAGTCGCCTCCCTCAACTGGCTTTGTTTTGGTGACCTCTTCGGGGGAAACCGAGGGTTTTGTCTATGTAATACAGGATCAGGTTATTAAGACCAACAACTATCGGAGATACATCCTAAAGGATGGCATCATCGATATTTGTCGAGCTTGTCGCCATCCCGGTGAGTCACTTAGGCATGTCATCTCCGGTTGTTCAGCGCTTTCTAACTCTGAGTACTTGCACAGGCACAACCTAGTAGCCAGAATTCTTCACTAGGAGCTCGCTCTGAAATACGGTCTCATGGATCGGAAATTGCCTTATTACAAGTACTTGCCGGAAGCCGTGCTCGAAAATGATCGCGCCAGGCTCTATTGGGACAGGGCCATCATCACAGACAGGACTATTCTTGCGAATAAGCCTGATATTGTGCTGATGGATCGGGCACAGTCAAGGATATTTTTGGTCGACATTACAATTCCGTATGACGAGAACCTCGTGAAAGCCGAAACAGATAAGCTATCAAAATATCTGGACCTGGCTCACGAGGTGACCGACATGTGGGTTGGTCTGCCGACCTAAATTATTCCTGTAGTCGTGTCTGCAAGCGGGTTAATCCCAGCCAGCCTCTCGGGCTATCTGAGGCGACTGGGACTCCGTGAAGGACCGCTCCGGGCTCAAATGCAGAAGGCGGTGCTCCTCGATACCGCCCGCATCGTCCGCCGCTTTCTTTCCCTTTCCCCCTAACCCTCGGTTTGGTCTCCCCTGCTGAGGGCTTCCATCTGGTTGGGCTTTTATTTATTTATGTATTATTTATTTATTTATGTTAGTATAGTAAATATATATTTAAGTACATTTATTTTTTCTTTTTATGTATTTATCCAGCCCAACCAGATGTGATTACTCTATCAATAACCCAAAATAAAATATAATAATAATAATGTCCTCCAGACCGAATTTCGGCCACGGCTGCCTACCTCAACGGAGGCTAGGCATCGGCGCAAGGCAGGATTATAGTGCCCAAGTGTATGCGCCAACACAGGTGCACTCTCTATTCCCTCACTCTCATAATCCGATGGGACGGTAAGCCGATACGACCGGAGAGAGATCAGGCGCAGGACCAACGGCTTTACATGCTTTCCGAGGCACGGGGGTGAGACACTGCCAACTTCCTGACTCCGGGGGCAGTTACTGAGAATTTCTTGATGGAAAACTCAATAATTGATTTTTTGGCCCGACCCGGGATTCGAACCAAGGACCTCATGGTCAGCAGTCTCACCACTACAACCACTAGACCAACGAGGCAGTCATAAATTCGGTCGGGAGGATATTCAAGGTATATTTTTTATATTATGTACTTGTATATTGCTTACGTAATACGTAAACAATATACAAGTATTATAGTCGTATGTCTTTCCTAGAATAGTTGTGCTGGGAGTGGTGGTGTTGGAAGTGGTGGTGTTGGGAGTAGTGGTGCTGAGATTGGTGGTGACGGGATTAGTGCACGCAATTGAGGGAGGGCGGGAGGTGCTCTTCAAACTAGGTAGGACACGTCGTTATATACAATTGAGCAGATAGTTGCAAAGTAACTATTAATATCTTTATGAGTTAGTGATTGGCGAAGTTTACTGATTGGTGTTATCGATAAAAATATTATACTCGAAGCCGATTTAATCTTCGACAATATTTGAAGAGGTAAATCAGAAAACGATACTGTACCCATATCAATAAAAAATCGGGTGGGCCTATGCCCCGACATAGGGACGTTGATTTTAACGTGAAACATCTATCTCAGCCAGTATAACCAGTACAACCAGTCAACAAGATATATCTTATGGTCGTTTCCTGAAGGTTCCTAAATCGTATCGGTCCGTAAAAATCACCAATAGTAAACGATTCCAAAAAGTATTCGTGCGAGAAAGAAAACTCATACTAAATTGCACGGCAGTGAACCGCCAAGCATCCAAATGACGTGGATGGTAATGTAAGTTTTGTCGCTTTGGTGAAATTTGATGGCTAACATTAATCCGAACAATTCCTCAGAGTAGTCCCCGTAGTAAATACGATAAAAATGCAAAGGGATGCAAAAATTCTACGCAGAGCCGGTCAAAGAGAACTTGTTCGTCGACGATTCGAGCCACTCTGCGCTGTATGCGGTCAAGTGGAAGGAGCTCCCACTCGCCCGGTCCAGAAATGAGAACAATATTCCATGTGAATGTGGTTGAATCTGCGCCTTGTAAAGTTGCGAACGGTGTGCCGGCATTAAATGCTGCCCCGATCTGCTATGAACGCTAAGCATTTTATGAGTAGATGAAAATTTAGCTTTCTATTCCAAATAACCATGAAACTGCAGGTCATTCGATATGTCAACGCCGAAGATTCAACAAGGCAAGTGCTCAGAAATTGAAGAGATACAAAAAAAGTTTAACAGTGGTAGAGCCACGCGGCATCTTTGCTGTTGCACGTATGGGCCGGCTCAAACCGAGGTGGTACCACGACCTCACAGAATACCGGCGTGAAGTGGAAGCTCTGCTTCCGCGTTTCGTCTAGTGAGTGCAGGTAGCCGGAGGCCCAAATCCCCCCCCTATCAACATGGTAGCGGAATTAAATAATGATAGACTGCCCCAGGAGGGTACCAGCACCCCTGGAGAATTCCTCGCTGAGCATCCACGACCATGTTTCTCCACTTCTGAGCGTGGGTGCTCAGGCTGCCCCGCATATTCTGGGGGGGGGGGGGAAATTCCGCTCAAGACTACAACTGCTCGGGGCAAACGGAGCAACAAGACCAAGGCAACCCCTGCCACGCTGTCCGTGAATTTCTGCAATAACAGGGGACTTCACTCTAACCTAAACGCTGTCCACTACCATCTCGACGAGCAACGGCGAGGCCGGCTCTGCTCTTTCTGACCGAGACGCAGGTGTCCTCTCCGGCTGATGTCTCTTATCTCCTGCCCGGGGTACAAACTGGAACACTCCTTTGTGCCTCGGAATGGAGTTTGCATTTACGCCAGTGGGGACATCTGTTCTCGACGCTTCGGCAGACTTGAAGGTTCGGACCTGTCCATCCTGTGGCTACACGTAGACAGCGACGACCATCCGCGCGTCTACGGGTGCCTCTATAGGTCCCATAGCGGTAATGCCGAAACAGACCGACAAACAGACTCTTCGACCATGTCCAAATGGCTACAGATTCGTTGCTACAGCAGATCCCCTCCGCAGAGATCGTGATCCTCGGCGACTTTAACGTCCATCACGCCGAATGGCTTGGTTCACGTTTAACCAATCATGCGGGGAGATCTGTTCATGATTTTGCCTTGGCATATGGTCTGACACATCTGGTT